GTAGACAACGTCAAGGGCCAGTTATTTAGAACTTAACCTTTGGTGATATTCTCCAAAATTGTGGATTTCGATATCTGTTATAATGTTATGAAGCCACCTGGTTGTTATTGTGTTAATAATGAATTAATACGATAAACACGGCCTCCAGTACATCGGCACACCCTGAGACACATTTGATGAGTCCACTTCTGACAATATTGTTCGTCGCAAATATTTCATATTCTATAAAATCACTTTGCACATACTATAATAATATACTACTACAATACAATAATACTATAATATAATATTAAAATACTACAATACTTGAATATAATATAATAAAACAATACTACATAAGGATAGTGAGTCAAGTTCTTTAGGCCAATGTTCAGATATGCAGTGCAGTCATCTGTAGACATAGAATAATGAGCAACTAGGAGAGCGTTCTCTGAACTGGAGTCTGTTCAGTTGCTTGGGATCATGTTTTTATTATATATACATCATGAATTTAGTAAGATACCATATGAACAGTTGTTCGAGGATACATTGCAGGGTGTGAACAACAGCTTGATCTCCTTAAAACGATTGTAGAACTCAAGCCTTGAAGAGACCAGTTATTATGCAGGAAAAGATACACAAACTAACTTGTACTGAATCATTTTCTCTCTCCATTAATACTACCAGGCAGGATTTTACAAGTTGTCATGGCTTGGTAAACAGTAGAATTATTTCATTCACATTGCAAAGTAATCCCTTGGAATGTGTGCCAGCAAATATTTGATTGGCCAACGTAGCATGTTGCCAGATGACATTACAACAGGACTCTACTTCATTTTTTGTGAGAACCCTTGCTGTGCCAACGATGACATCTCATTAAAATGGATGAGGAGGTTTTTGACTTTTTTTTTGCGGGACGTGGCACTAGTGTCTGAACACGGCCTTGGACCTTTCGAGTGTTTCATCCCTTTGGTATAAAGCCTCACAGACTGGCTGGGAAGGTAAACATCGCTGTGTTGTTTTGCAGTTCTCTGAAACTGTGTTTCAGGGTTTCAGGGCAGTGAAGTTTTAAATATTCCAACAAGGTTTGGAGCTGCCAACGGTGCCAAGTGACGCATTTCTGTGTGGGCCTTTGGGGTATTCGCTCTTTGTTGTCATCTTCCATTATTGATAAAAGGGTTTGCATGAATGTTGTTTTTTTTCTCCTCTCTCTTTTTCTATGATTTGAACTCTCATAGCTGAGCCATGGTGGGTGCAGGTGGGCAGTAACACAGTGAAGGTCACACAGAAAGAATGAAGAAAAGTGCTTCCTCTAAAACTAGAATCCAAAATGTCCCAAGAGCCATGTTGAGTTTCCACCAGTCATGAATGCAACGTAATTAAAATGGATGGTTGCTCGAACACATACATAGGAGGGCATCTGTGATGAAACACACAGCTGAATACCTCCTCGTTTGTGCTCCTGTGTTGCAGCTTAACAAGTACAATCCTTCCTGACAGTTTGGAGAAGAACTCTGTGGTGCTTCTTTTTTGTTGTTGCTAATAATAAGGTGTATTCCTCCACAGCGACTAACACCACAGACTTGTTTTTAATTGGGCTAAGAATAAAGCATCTGTGCATCCAAGTAGAAGGAAGTGAATTGAGGTCTGAGGTCAACTGAAAATGTCCAGAAATGACATTTTGAAAATGTTGCTGCCTTCTTTTTCTCGTGTTTATCATAATGGGATAAAGTTTCTCTCTATTCCTATCGTTCACTACTCAATCTCCTTTCTCACCAATTGGCCTCTGAACGGCACAACAATTTCTAAGTCACTTAGTGTGCAATAAGAACGCCATTCTTTCTTCTTGCGTGTCATTTTACATCACATGTACATGCCGGTAGCTCCCATGACTTTTGCAAAATTCTTAGTTTGTTGTTCTTTTATTACTGGAGCCCAAATAGCATATGACAGAATGCATTCATCAACATCGGTAAATGAAGCGATGGGATTGGGTTGTTAAGTGTAGCGGACTTTGAGATGATCACCGCCCACGGCCGACCAACCAGACAGACCTGCCTGAGGCTACTCCACTACCCAGCATGCTCCTGGCTGTCTGGTGTCTGGTCGCAGAAAAATAATATGGATGAAATAAGACCTCAGGTGAACTGCTGAGCCCACATTTTCACAGAGACCTGGATCCATCCTGGCGATCCGGATCAAGCTGCAGTTGACCGTCAAACCGCAGGACTCCGGTGGGACGAGAGGAGGAGGACTCTGTGTCCACATCACGATGCTTGGTGCTCAAACTCAGTCAAAGTTGATGGACAATGTTTCCCTGATGTCAAATTCCATTGTTAAGATGTCAGCCGTCTTTTCTGGCCAGAGTATTGTTGTTGTTGCTGCTGTTTACATTCCTCATGATGCAAATGCAAACAATGCTTCGGTGCTTCCTTTCGGTGCCTGAGCCGATTGAAATACTTTTTTTACACTACTCTGATGACTCCGTCCTGGCAGCAGGTAACGATAGCCTCGGTCCTCCGCTCCTCACTCATAGTATTATTACAACCGGACGAGCTGTGCGCGCTTATAAACAAACCCCTCCATCATTCTGGCAAAGCTTCGGCCATGATTTATTTTAAAAAAATTAAAAAAACGAGATCTGTCAAACGGCAGGCAGGCTACTGACTTCCTCCATCGACATCCGGGTACTTAGTGCTGCTGCTCATAACAAGCACAACATCCACAGGCACGCAAAACCTTCTTCTTCTTCTTCTTTGAGGTGTAGTGGCGGTTGGCAAACGATGAATTGGCGCATTATCGCCACCAACTGGTAAAATTTAATTTAATTTAATTAGTCAGGAGAGGTGTCGTATTTTGCCAGAGAAGGCAAATATGCTCATATTTCTGCAAAAGAATTGCTGAAGTTTGAAGCTGTAGTGGGTGTACAGAGTGTGTGTGTGTTTTGTATTTATTTATATTTATAGTATACTTTAAACAGTTAATATATCGTTAAATTTGAAGAAAGGCTTTTGCCTTGGCAATAAAAAAAAAAACCTTTCTTTAATGTCGTCAATTGTCGTTTTGTGCTTCTTTTTTTTTAAAGTATCGGTTCAGCCACCGTTTAGGCACCGGTATCGTTTTAAAAGTATCGTTTTAGCACCGGTATCAGAAAAAACCCAAACGATACCCATCCCTAATCCTCAGTGTCCTGCAAAGAGGATTTCTTTTCTAATAAAGCCTCGTATTGTTTCACTGTATTATTGATAACTTTTGTAACAAGTTGAAAATGTCTCAGGGTCCTCGGGAGTTTTCCGAAAGGGCATCCGTGATGTTGTCAATGATTAAACCTGCGTGGTGGCATTCAGTGACTCGCCGTGGTTTCCGGATTACCACAGAGCTGTGAGAGATAACCAAATGTTGATGAAAGATGTGAGCCGCTGGGCCATGATCTCAACGCTGCTGCAGGTCCAACACCTCGTACCTCCACTTCATGCCTCCATGTTTATATTGGAATGCATTCACCCTCACAACGATTCATTATTGAGCCTTTGAATATATCTTCAATGATGCTGCCGGGCAAAGAAACAGAACTATGAATTAGACATAAGGGTTCTATGAGGCAGCAGCCTATGTCAATTTAAATCACCATATTGTGGTGTTCTTCATTAGGCGTGAATGTCAATACTGTTATTTGATTGGCATAATATCTGCATGGATATGTACTCAAAATGTATTGTTAGATTGTTTAATTCAAAAGACGCATGCTCTGAATCATGGAGTAGAGTAAGAAGTGCCGAGGTTGCAGGACTCACTTGCTGTAGGTTTTGAGAATCTGGTGAAAAGTTAAAGCAATCACCAAATCTGGACCCATGGTCACTAACATTAATGTTTGATGAAATCATAATCAGGTTTATTTCACTTTTAAAAAACAGCAACACGTCTCTTTGAATATAATTACTTAAAATGAAGCTCTCTTGACGTGGTCTTGGCTCCAGCTAAACCGGACTGGCATGTGGGATGGCTGATTGAGTGAGACTGTGGTGAGTGGACCTCAGGCCCTCTCAGGCGGTCCGGAAGGTGATTTTGTACAATTTAATGTTAAATGCATCAATCTGGAGCAGAATTAAGAGGCTAGATCTGTGAAAAACCTTGTGCTCTTGCAAACAATTTAGTGGTGTAGTAAACAGTTCAGTCATAAACACGTTGGTCAAACCCCTGACATACTGAGGACAGTCCGCCGGGAGCAGGGGGCCGTGGACTTGGGCCTTCACTCCCTTTGAGAGCCCCCCCCCCAGGAAGTGACAAGGTCCTGGTGAGGGCTGTTGTAAAGCTCAAGGCCAGAGCAGCGAGCCACCTTCACCCCCATGAAGGCCATCTAGCCACTTTTTCTAGTCGTCCGTCTCCCTCATCTCACAGAACCAGAAATGCTTCGATCCGTTAATCAACACAGCTGTCTACACAGGCGGCACGACAGGAGCTGTATTGATTACAAATAATGAAGCGCGTTTTAATGCCTAACATCTATTTTCTTTCCGTTTTACGTGCTTAGCTGCGCTGATTGCATGGTGGGCTCTGAGCGCTGCCAAAACACAGGTGACCTGCAATCAACGTCCGGCCGAAACGCGTCAGTGTAGACACGGACGCATGATTGAAGCTGCTGCTCGCTCCTTGTCTCCTGTGTAGACGAGGTGTTCACTTCTTACACCACCAGAAACAGTTTTATCCTCTTTTGAAATATGTCATTGTGCTATATTTCCTTACACAAAATGTGAGGAGAATTCAAATTTCTGACGGGCGACTTTGCAATTACGCTGCTGTTTCGGTGTAAAAAGGAATCATTTTAAGCCTTGATCCATCTTTCTACTTTAGTTTTTCATAAAATCAATGGTTTGAAAAGGCAGCACTAAACCGTGTTTGATGGGGTAAAACAATCATCTGAACTATAGTTTCTGTCTGTCTGGTGCTGACATGGCGCGCTGCTTTTTAACGTGATGTGTAATCCGTGACAGAGCGTAGATCTATGGGACACAACGACTCACCGCGGGTGTTGCTGGAGAGACGTTTGCGTTGGCTGGTGGAGGTGTTGTGCGGGAGCAGAGTGTTCTGCTGGTGGTTGCTGTCGATGGGACTCGTGGCGATGATGTTGTCCTTGTACTTGTTCATCAGGGCCAGCTTGGTGTTGTCGCTCACTGCGGACGAGTGGGATTATAGTTACAAACACCAGGAAATAAGAGCTCGGAGAAGGTAGGCACAAACTAAAAAGCTTTCTCTCTGGAACGAGAAAGCAGGCACTTGGAAAAGACACTAAATAAAAACACTAAATAATTGTGCTGTTCTTGGCTGGATGTTGAAGGTTTTAAAACCACAGTGTAGCAAGGATTAAGTGTAGTAATCCTGAAGGAAACACACCCAGCATGTTGTTTACTGAGGGGAGAATTAAAGAGTGAGAAAAGCTGCCTTGAAATTAAAACCCATTAAGGGAAAATACTGAACACATCCTCAGAGGAGGCGATAATCTCTTTTGGTAAATAATAATAGTTAAAGTTCCAGGGAAACAATAACAAACACAATATATTATAAAACACCATTTCTGTAATAAAAGCAGTACTTTGGTTCAGACTGAAATATCTATAACACGATTAGATGGATTCTGATGAAATTACCCCCACAGGATGATACTTAAGACTTAAGTTTAGAGAGGTTCAATCCTTTACTGTTCATTTAATTAACACATTTGCACTCAGAATAAGAAAGTGTCTTCTGCAAAAAAAACTGCTAAAAGTCAAATAAAAATCACAAAAAGCCACAAAAAGAGTACCGGGCAGGTGTAACTAATCTTCCGTCTTGCATAAAGACATTAAAGCAGCAGGATGTAAATTCATGTGGTATTAAATGGTTGTCAACTAATCTGCTCTTGTCATATTTGGTGGTTTTATGTTTGTCGATACGTTAACGTTACTGTTTTATCCCGAGTGGGAAGGAGTTAAAAAAAGCCTTTTTTATTAAGTTTTATGTGTGAAGCAGTATAAGTTAAGACACACACAATTCACTCTAATCAAACCCTGACACTTTACAACACAAGAGAGGTTTACATTGTCAGTTTTATTCCCAAGGACGTTAAGAGCATTTCACGATCTGTTTCACAGGGTTTTATAGGGCCGATGTAAATATTAGCTCATGTCGCCTACACTTCATGTTACAACTGGGTTCGTATTTCTTTTATACCTCCACAGTTGGACGCTCTTGGATGTTTTTGGTGATCCCCTGGCTGTTTTCTCTGGCGACGCCATGGAGTCCACATCGATGGATTTGAGTCAAAACTACTGGATGGATTGCCGTGCAATGTGGTCCACACTTTGGAACAGGAGTGTTATGATGCTAACAAGGTAAACTAAGCTAATGAACATGGTAAACATTACACTTTCTTAGCACTGTCATTGTGAGCATGTTAGCATGTTGATGCTAGCAGCCCAGAAGGGACAAACCAAATAGAGCGGAGTGGTATTCGGGCGGTTGCAATCTACAACCTCACCGCTAGATGGCAGTGAATCCTACACTCTGCTCCTTTAATAGGGACATAACACTATTGTTTCCACTTGTTTATGTATTCCGTTATTCTAAAAAGAAAGGTCAAGGGCAGGCAAAAGAAATACTGACTGAAATGTTTGTTATTTTAGTCCTGATTTCCGATGCTTTTTTTCCTGAGCAACCTCTGTCTTGTTCAATATTCCACGCATGCCCTGCTGACTGCATTTCCTATTTATCTCGTCCCTCTCATAAACCATCTTTAATGCATAATGCACAGTGTTACGCCTCTCCATCACCTCTGGGGTCGGGCTGTTCGGATTTCATAAGAACACCGCGTGTGAGTGCCTCCACCGTGACCGATCTCTTGATGAATCCGAGCAGTGAATGCGCTACTAATTGGAATTAAGGGGGGGGGGTTACCTTCATAAAACCTGCTCCACTTCATGCAATCGTCCTCGCAGGAGAGGTGCTCAACCCAAACGTCCACTGATTATGAAAAATAGATCTTCCAGGAGGAGTTGTTGGGTGAACCGTAAGCCTTTTGATCATTCCAAGTGTGAGGAGTAAACTCTTGGAGAGAATACCTGCAGTTCCATATTTATGTCTGGTGGACTGTCTGCATCAGTAACAGCTCATGTTCTTACATGCTGTACAAGGGCCTCATTTCTATTTGCTGTCCCATTTTGTTGTGTTGGGAGCCTTTGTGTTTGTGAACCTAAAATTATAGTCATCCATCATTTGGTCTACGTTAATGTTGACGATTACTTCACACCTATATGAGAAAATAATACATTGTATTTAATTAAAAATCCAATTACCTCTCTTTGTTTTCACACTGATTATCTAAATTATTCCAACTGTGTTGATGTAATTACACTGTTCCCTGCTCAGGAAACTATTTGTATATCGCCATGTTTCCCCCAATACCAGCTAAAGTAACCTTTTTGATGCAGGAGGATGATAAATAAGGCTTTTAATATGATGAGTGAAAGCTGAGGTTGCTGTTGGGAATATGTTGGCGAAACGTTTCCTATATTTACATATCCAGCAGACATGCAGCGACGTCAGCGCTCATTCCGAGTCCTGTTTCTGTCCAAACTGAAAGATGCTAAAACACTCTGTAGTGCTGAGTGGAACTGCAGTCAGATGAAAATTCTCTGAGGGTTCACATCCGTCACATAACACACAGTTGTTTGACCAATTCTTTAGATTAGTGCAGCTTTAAAGGTTTAAACGGCTCGCCACTCCCTTTGAATCCATTCAGCCCACCACGCCTGTCAGAGGACTACGATTGCCTCTCTAGAGCCAGTGTTTGGTTTGTACTACGATAGAAAAACATGGCGGTGCAACACTGAAGAGGACAATCTCTCTATGGAGATATGAAGGGCCATTGTAAGCCACCGGGAACACAGCGATTTCAGGTTTCAGGTGATTATAAACTAATGAAACATTTTATATTCCATTCCTGCAAATAGATCCCAATAAATCCTACACACTGCTCCTTTAAAGAATGTCAATATGCAAATAATACAGTGTGTACCTACTCTCTAAAGGAAGAATGCCATGTCAGTATGGAATCCAAAAAGTAACAGACAGGTGTCACTGTCACGGTACCTTCTATCAGCTGCTCTGCTGGCTCGAAATAATAAAACCCATTTTTAGCTTTACCATTAAACACTAATGTGTTAGCAACATTAGCACTTATTTAGTGCCGTGTTTCCTGGCCCCTTGAGTCAAGTAGACCTCATGACATTATATGAGCTCATAGCAGGAGAGTCAAAGTGTCTGCTGTGACTACATTCACTGGTTTTGGTCTCCAGCACCTCCTGAGAGACTTTAGCTGCGAAGTGCTCCCCTTTTTGCTGACTTTGTCTCTCTGTGGTCGAGTTATAGTTTTCTTATATTAACTCTTGTATTATTTCTCTCATATTAACTATAATATTAGTTCTAGTTTACTCACCACAAACTCCTGAGGGAAATATCTGGGAATCAGACTTCCTCGCCAGCTCGTTGCTAACTTTGTCCGCGTTGTCTTTAGCCGTGTGGTTCTGGGTTTATGTGGGCTTTATCACTGAAAACAGCGGCCTGCTGCTGCTTCTGTGAGCCTGTCACATTGAGCAACCCCTTCACATTACATCTAGTCCAGCTGATTCAATGTTACCATTAAAAAGTATTGATCAGTGGAGCTTTAAGGCTGTTTGCTTGTTTTTTCTCCCATTTGGTTGACCTGGCTGTTTCCACTTCAGTCAACTCACCAGGTGTGAGGTCCATACTGTTCTTGTCGTTACAACCCTGGAGGGAGTCCAGGGTACGGGTGACTTGGCTGGCAAACTCCTCGCCGCCATTCATACACTCTCGCTGCAGGTGGTGGCGCAGGTCCGTTATGTCATACTCGTACCTGGCGATGAGGTAAAAAAAATCAATTAGGGTTACATTATCTTGACTGATCTGAATCAGAGTAAACATCACAAGCGGCTAAGATGCTTGACGAAGCAGTACTGATCCGGTAAGCTTTTATAATCTTAAGCATCAAACTGTGTGCTGTGTGCATATCAGCTGCTTTCTAAGTCGTGAATTTCAAACAATTCCAACCTATTGTTGCCAGTGTAAAATGTGAAATTATTAACATTTTTAGGGTTTAACTATTTCAAGATACATCCCCTCCCCCCCATCCATCCACCCAAATCCTACTTGTACCCGTCCAAAATCGGTGTCTCCCGGATGCTGAGGGTACCGCTGGAGTTTGGACCCTGACCCCGAGAGTTCCTCAAGCTCTCCCGAGCCTGGCCTCCCATCAGCACGGAGGGGATGTAGTGGATCTCGTTAGCCGCCTCGGCGCTGGCACTCTTCTGGGGCTGGGGAATGCGGCGGCGCTTACACCAGCGCCTGCGGGTGTAGAGAATCAGGACCAGGCACAGGATGGACAGCAGAAGGGCGATCATCCCACCCTGAGGGGAGGAGGGTGACATTTGGAGCAGAGACAGAGGAGAAAAAAGGGGGAGAAGAGAGGGGAAAAAAAACAGAGAGAGAGAGAGAGAGAAGAGAGTCAAAGGGGAAAACAGATTGAGAGAATCTTGCCAAGTCGAATACGGATCAAAGTCAAAGCAGTGATGCCAACAGCATAATTTGAAAAAAAAAGGCTACAGATGCAATTTAGTGAATCACACCCACAATGTTTTAAAGTAACAACAGCTCTCATGCTACTGTGTGGTTACTTCACCTTGAGACAAAGAAGCACTTGGCTGATTTCCATGTGGAATGTGAGCAAGGGTCAGCAGCTATAAACCGCTTCCTCATTGAAAGCACAGAGGTCAATTCCCCGACTGTGAAAATTAGGTTCCCGGATTTTTTTAGTTTGACAACTTGGGAATTGATGTGACAGTACGTTTTGGCATGTGAAAGAAAATGTGGCATTGGAAAAGGGAAACAGGCACTGAAAAAAGGTTCCATTGGAAATAAAATACAGAGATTTCTGATACAATTTTCAATGACGATCTTGATCATTTAGTTTTTTCATGTCACTCTTGTAAAAAAAATAATTATTATATACATTTGTTTCTGTTTCAACTTTCTGTCACTGTTTTAGCATGGAAGGGGAGGGCATACATACCTCCATGTAGATACCAACATTAAATCAACCATGGCCGGAATAACTGATATTGCTGCTTCATGGTGTGGAAGTCCCGGTTACGGCTGAACCAAAACGCCGTCCTGTCTCATGTCAGAGGAAGTCTGTCCTTCTAACAATGGAGAGTTTGGAAGGTCTATGAACCAACAAAGCACGGCGTATACTCGCTGTAGTGAAGCCGGCGCGAGGCGGGCGCGAGGCGGGTGCGAGGCGGGCGCGAGGCGGGTGCGAGGCGGGCGCGTCAAAGGCGTGACATCATGTGGCTTGAGTGCCGTGTGCAAAGCCTCTTGGTTGTGCGCTTTCGGAACTTTCTTTTTTTAGCTAGAGCTGTTTCGAACGCTTTGGCAAAATATTCACTCAAAAACCATTTGAGTGAATATTTTGCAGCTAAATCAAATCCTTTACAGGATATCCAACCTTGGTTTCTTTATAATGCATATGCAATACCTGACTCCTGGCTTGTACAAAGGCAATAGAGTAGTCCATGAGCAGCATCATTTGTTATCAGACCTGTCGGAGAATACAGAACGCCTTTGTGCGTGCTCGTAGCTCACGGGCCATCTGCTGAGGCTCGGCTCATGTTGCTGAGCAATAGCGTGAACAAAAATGAACTCTGTCTGCAGCCTACTCTCTGATTGATATTTACAATGGACAGTGTCAGTGGTCATTTTACTGTTTGGCTTTGTTTTCTCCTCTAAAATAAGTTGGGCTCATGGGAGTTTGTTCCAAGCCTGTGCGATTGGCTGCCCTGTGGAAATCTGGGAGAAAGAAGTCTGTCTGAGACTTTGAATATCAGCTCATAAACATACTCCAGGAAGCATTGATACCATCTGACTGGGTCAATCCGCATGGCCGTGTTCGTTTTACTCGTCTTCCCTCGGATTTTGATGACTTATGAGCTGGTTTTCGGAGGTCGAGTGATGCGACGGCATCCACACCAGCACCTGTGGGTGTTGGGGGATTGGGGACGTGGGCACACGATGGACAGGTGAAGGGCCTCTGAGCCTGAGGCCTGAGGACAGGTTAGACGGAGGGGGCAGAGACAGAATCAGACGGAAACCGGAGATAAAATGAGACAGCGGGAGGGGAGGGAGTCAAAGAGGGAGCGGATGAAGGCGAGAACGGTGTCAGAGAAACGTCGGCGAGGAGCGGGATACGGATCAAAGTCAAGGCCAGTCAAACGCACGCAGCCCGTGGAAACACTGGAGAGAGACAGCGACTGTCACTTTGAATCCCAGACCATATCTCTGCCATGAATAAAGACAATGATCACAGATTTCTGGGCAGTTTCATTCTACCGATTCCAAAAAAAAAATCTAATCCTATTATTTGCATTTTTTAAGTTACTGAAAGGGATGTTTGTGGAGAAAGGCAGGAAAGATAAGGAGAGATAACACACAGACACGATTGTAAGTTGGACCCGTAACGTTACATGAATCACATCCTCGCGGCTAATCTGATGCTACGCAGCCGGAGACTCCAAATCAGATACGTTGTGCAATTTGGAAAATGTCAAAAAGTGTTATGAAAATGTCAAGGTGACAGCACGAGAAGGATTTTTCTTTTTCTTAAACGAGTCCTCCCTCTCAGTGAGATAAATCACATGCCTCGTTTAAAATTAGAAAAAGATTTGTATAAGTGCTTCCTCCAGCCAGGTGTGTACAGATGTTTCCGTCTGTCCTGTCTGGGCTGCACTCCCACTCCCTTTTGATTCTGTTTAATTGACTTGAGAGATACAAGGCCAAATAACAATGTTACAAATTGATGCCCAGCAATCGTCTGGCCAGGACAACAGTGGACTAACAAGAGGATAAGTGAAAAGTGATTCAAAAGGAAAAGAAAGAAATCAATTTGAGCTAAACTGTGTGTCAGCTCAGTCAAACCAGCACAGTTTTGGAAAGATAAGCAAAAACGATGAAATGAAAAATGGATTTTAATCAGTTGTTTACAGAAAAGAAAATCCCTTTAATGCATTTTTGGAATTCTGAGGCTGAATAAAAATAGAGGGGGGGGGGTCAGTTGCTCATATTCATTTAAATAGGCAAAAGAGAGGCTCATTTGCATAAGTAGTTTGCTTAATCTGCATAACCAAGGACATTAACAAATGACACCGTGACACGGGCCACTTGTGCACTGCATCTGCATGCACAGTGGTCAAAAAGCAGAGCAGAGTCATTTAGTTAGGAATGATTACATTTCCAGCACTTTCAAAGTCACTGATGATGTCCCCCTATTTACATAAAGCAGTGACTGCACACTCAATACAACAGTTAATGACACCATCATATTTTCCACATTTAAACTAAATTATATTTGTTATTATATGGATTTGCATACATTCACAGGATATGGTCTACAATCAGCTTGAAAGATTGCAAATAAAACAATATGAAGCCTCATTACGTGTGTGACACATTTTCATTAATCTTCTCCAAAAACACATTTGGTATTTTTTCGTTGTTTACCTTCATAAGGATATGTTTATGTTCATTGTGTCATTTTGGGGGAGTGTCTTTGGAGGGAGGTGCTGCTAGCAACTTTTGCTGGAAAAGAGTTAGTGGGTTTTTTGGGTTGGATATTATTCTTTAATCTAGCATATAGTTTCTCAAGATAACCATGTGCATTTAACACATCTTAAAAGTGCACGAACCAATATTTTTGGATTAACAAAAGGTCAAATGACTTCATGTAATCTGAAAGGGGTCCCTTGTCGTGACATGTTTTTGCCAGTGTTTCACTGTCTTTAAGCGCATTGTTTGATTCAGCCTCACCAGCTTTATCATTTTCAGCTATTTTCAGCGAAAAAAGCTCAAATAAAAGTGTCTGTATGCTATCTGCCAAGCTCCAAACGGCAGACAGAACACAGTTAGCTATAGCTAGTTAATATAGTGAACAATTAGGCAGCTAAAGAGTCAGATATTTCCCTCAGGCGTTGGTGGGGACCAAAACAGAGCTTGAAGGGGAGTAACTATTAGACTCAAATGTGATGCAAATGAATGCTAATGTTGCTCACATGCTAGCAACATCAACTTCACAAATATGTGTGTAGCTTGTTGGTGAGTTCTACCCCCAAATAGCAAAGAAAAAAGAAAAAAAGATTAACGTAATGCTAAATAAAATAGAGATAAATTCACATATCCATACAGGCAGTTGATTCTGGGACCACTGTTCCCCTGAGGTATACAGTAAGGTCACATTCACTCCGATCCAGGCAACGTCCTCCTGTTTCTTTCTTCCTAAGATGATGGAGATACAGATATTAATGTCACTGTGTCAGCTAACATGCCTAGATGTATATGTGACTCCCCTTTGAACAGTAGTGTGAGGAGAGACTGAAAGCATGCGGCAGCTGGGTCGCAGACATACTTGAGTGAAACACCATGTCACCTGTGTCGACTGTTGTATCGATTAAAGCATCTGTCGTAGACAGTCGAGGGGAAAGCGAGAAGAGGGCGCTGGTGCAATCATCTGTCAGGGCTGTGGGGTAGGGGTGGGGTGGGGTGATTTCCTTGTTTACAAAAATGTTTTGGGGGATTGGGCGTAACAAGCTAAAACCAGGTGTTAAGTTGCTATTTCATGTTTTTTTCTACAAAGTGCATGATTTCCCTTTTACTTTTAATTTGCTGTCGCTGTTTGACCTTACGCCAAGTCCCGCCCCTCAGAGGCAGACATCGTGTTGCAGGTGATGTGGTGGTTCACTTTCACACTGTGATCTGAAGATGTTTATCTCTTTTGATAGTCTCTTTAAACATATTGGAGACCCTTCTTCCTGCTGCTTTTTCAGTTTTCCCAAACATTAGATGATATCTCTAAATAGACTGCAGTTAGTGACCGTGTGGGCTCCAAGGTAACTGACAGCTTGGCTTAGCAAAGGATCAGTTATGACACATTTCTGGGCTAAGATTCATAACTCACTCTTTAATATATAAAACGTTTATATTCCACTTTTCTCTATTGTTAGAGAAGTGCTCAAATTGAGTTCTTGTCGTTTCTAATCTAAAAGAAGAGTAAAGGAATTTTGAAATGACATAACTGATCATTTGTAATTATTACAACTGTGTATGTAATGTTAAGCCGTGCCATTGTTTCATTCATCCCTGAGGAAACAAGTCAACGGTCAAGTACTTCAAATGGCCCTCAATCAAATCTACCTCAGTGACAAATGGAATTAAAACCCATCAAGCTGCATTAGCGCTCATGCGTAGAGGGGGCTAATATAGACCAAATGGAAAAAAGCTGTTTAACGTCAGGCATTACATGGAATCAAAGTGAGGACTAAGTGGGCTGTGTCCTCCTCTAGAGCCAATAAAGCCCAACCAC